ATCACTTAAAGAGAAACCCAAACTGGCTTGCCCTTTGTGAGACCCGTGGAAGGGCAAGCCTCTGAAAAAAAAAATAATTAAAAAAAATAAAATTAAATAAAAATAAAAAAAAAGAGGAACCGAAAGGATGGGACACGAACCTCTAAGCACCACTAGTTTGACATGACTTTTCCATTCTAAATAGGCATTCATTTTCCTACTTTGAAGTCTCTATTAATAAATTTAGCTTTCCTATAGAAAGCCTCAAAATGTAGTCCCCACAAAACCTGGATCTGCCTCTGATTCTCAAGGTCAGGAATGGTTCTTTCCTCTTTCGGATCACTCTGTCCTGCGCTCCCTGAGGTTTATTAAAAGTCCAAATTTGCCAGACACCAAGGTGGGTGGCTTTGGGGCGCACCCCCCACGACTGAGCTAGCAGTGGGCACATACTCAGCTTGGAGTCTCCTTCCTTCACGCCCTGGCCCCCAGCCGGTTCGTGAGCCTGGCCCTGTGACCAGCCATCCGGCCCCTGCTCCCTGCTGCCCCCCAGTGGACCTCAGGTGAGAAGACGCCACGTGCATGGGGCGTGTCCTCTGGTCTCATTCTCACGCTCCTGAAACCATTATTCAAGTTTTATTAGAGCTGCTTAAACCGCCTGGGGCTCCGCCAGGGCCTCTGAACACCCCGAGTGAAACTAGTTACTGAGAACCCTCAGTGGGTGGCTGCCGTCTCCCCAACATCACACGCCCGGGCAGCTCTCTGAAGGGAGTCCACAGCCACATGTGTGCGCAGGCGCGCGCGCACGCACACACGCGTGTGCACACACACACACACACACACACACACAGCATTCACACACTCAGCCCCCACAGACACATCCACATTCACAGGGGACTCAGACAAGAAGGAAAAGCCAGGGGAAGCTGGGCACAGTGCTCACACCTGTAATCCCAGCCCTTTGTGAGGTTGAGGCCGGAGGGTCGCTTGAGGCCAGGAGTTTGAGACCAGCCCGAATAACGTAGTGAGTCCCCGTCTCCACAAAAAATTTAAAAATTAGCCAGGTGTGGTGGCACATGCCTGTAGTCCCAGCTACTCAGGAGGCTGAGGCAGGTGGGTCACCTGAGCCCACGAGTTTGAGGTTGCTGTCAGCTATAATGACACCACTGCACTCCAGCCTGGGTGACAGACTAAGCACCTGTCTCCAAAAAAAAAAAAAAAAAAAAGAGTAAAGCCAGGGGAATTAATGTCATTGGCTGGGTTAGTTCTTCTTCTCTAGAACAGCTTTAGAAACCTGGAATTTTTTTAAAAGTCGAGGCATACTTTGCTCTATTGCACCTTGCTTTATTGTGCATCACAGATACTGCATTTTTTACAAACTGAAGGTTTGTGGCAACCTCAGGGTTGAGCAACTCTACAGGCACAATGTTCCCAACAGTATGTGCTCACTTTGTGACTCTGTCACAGTTTGGTAATTCTGCACTATTTCAAACCTTTTTTAATATTCTTATTATTTATTTATTTTTGAGACAGAGTCTCACTTTGGTGCCCAGGCTAGAGTGAGTGCCATGGCGTCAGCCTGCCTCACAGCAACCTCCAACTCCTGGGCTCAAGCGATCCTGCTGCCTCAGCCTCCCAAGTAGCTGGGACTACAGGCATGTGCCACCATGCCCGGCTAATTTTTTCTATATATATTAGTTGGCCAATTAATTTTTTTCTATTTATAGTAGAGACGGGGTCTGGCTCTTGCTCCGGCTGGTTTTGAACTCCTGACCTCGAGCAATCTGCCCGCCTCGGCCTCCCAGAGTGCTAGGATTACAGGCGTGAGCCACCGCGCCCGGCCTTTTTCAATATTCTTGCATCTGTCACAGGGATGGTTCTTCCAGACATCCCCTGAAGGCTCTGTTCACTCAGTGCCTGCCCCAGGTGAAATGGCGGAGACTGTCCCGCAGGAGTCTGGGATGGCAGGTGGGGCAGAGCAGTTTGCAGATGTTTATGAGAGCAGTCCTCCTTGGCAACCCACTCTTTGTCTTCACTCTCATGGAAACAAGATTTGACCTCTCCTAATTTCCTGGTGCCAGAGGAACAGGTAGGGGCCTGTCCCAAGGCTGAGTGGCCTCAAAGATGGGTTCTCAGACAGCTTAGTGCTCCAGTTGTCCTTGAGCCATTGAATCATTTCACCCACTTTTTTTTCTTATTTTGAGACAGAGTCTCGCTCTGTCACCCCAGCTAAAGTGCCATGGCGTCATCATAACTCAACCTCAAACTCCTGGGCTCAGGCGATCCTCCTGCTTCAGCCTCCCAGAGTGCTAGGATTACAGGGGTGAGTCACTGCACCTGGCCTCACCCACCAATTTTATGGGAGAGACCTGGGGGCCTTTTCTCCAGCTAACCAGACAGGCAGTTAGATTCAGCCGTGGAGCCATCTCAGAACAGGCATCCCAGGAACTGGCCACTGGGCAAGGCGTGGGACTTGTTAAGGGTCATAAAATGTCCCTGTGATTGAAGCAGCCTTCCTCCCACACAGAGAAAGCCTACTGCCCTGCGCTCACCTTTGACTATCAGACAGGGCTCTGGGGACACCTGAGGAGCTGCCAGGAGGAGGTGCCTGCGGGTGCCTTGTGGAGGAGGATGTTTTTGGCGTCCCTGTTTCACAAACCTGGCTTAGAGCACCCCAGTGGAGAACTAGGCAGCTCTTGCATGTCCCTGCCTAGAAACTCTGGCTTCTTGCCTGGGGCCCAGAACCTCGCCCGTCTGGGCATGTCCCGGCTCCCTGCCAGGGCCCGGCTGGCCTTCCAACTCAGGTTCCCCAGAGCGCCTGACCCTGTGAGTCACTGGCCTATTCACAGGGACCCCTCCCAGACCACTTGCATTGTAGCTTGATGGGAGCCAGGTCATCGCAAGTCACTGAACTGGGGACTGAGATGCAAACTCAGAAGGAAGGGGTTGGGGTTGGGCTTGGGCTGCGGGGTTCCTGCCTCCACTCTCTACTTAATCCCAGCAGCTCAGGAAGGCAGTGCCAGCAGACGCTCCTCCCAGGAATGGGCAAAAGTAAGGGGAAACTGTCCTCTGCCACTCCACACCCTCCCCAACATTTGTCTTTGAGGAGTAAACACGTAAAAGTGATCCCAGGGCCTTTGGGGTGGGAGTTAAGGCAAGAGCTGGATTGTCCAGGGTGCAAGTACCCTGTGGTGGAATCACACCCCCTGCCCATTAGTCCCCCATGTTCACTGAGCACCCAGTGCATTGGGGACATAGAGACAGACACACCAGCCCCCGCCCCGTCCTCCAGGAGCTTACAGTCTAGCCAAGTGGGCCCTAAGCGGTGGGAAGACAGCACAGCCTTGCTGGGGCCTCACCCTGTTGTCTTAACATTGGATTTTCAATCATGCCCAGAGCTTCCCCCATACCTTGCCACCCAACCAGGGCCAAGGTCATCATGGGCACAGTCTAATTTAGTGATCATTCTCTCCCCCCATCAGTTCTGTCTTCTTACCCCTAGAGCCCTGGTCCCTAGCACTGGTCGGTCTGGGAACTGGGGGGAGCATGCCCATCCTTCTGGCAAATGCACAGCAAACCCCTGTGAAATGATGGGAGTGTGCCGGTGTCACAGGTGCTCCCACTTTCTCTTGGGCACCCCCCCACTGGGATCGGCAGCCCCCTCCCTGAGTCCTCACAGGCCCTCTGGGCTTCCGAGGAGAAGAAAGAAAAGTCCTAAGAACAAGTTCTTTCCAGTTACCAGTCCCGAGCAGTAGCAGGGAGTAGTTAGCAAGAGAAAATGAGGAAAGGTGTTTCCTGTTCCTTAACCTGCTGCCACTCCTGAATCCCTGCTGTTCTGTGGCATGGCCCCTGCTCACCCCACCTTGGCACTGTCTCTGTGCTGGAGTCAGACACTCAAAAGCCACAAAAGTCCTTGAGGCCACAGGGGAGCCTCATTCTTGCTCCACCTCTTCCTCACACTGCAAGACCACCCGGCCTGGTGTTAAGTCAATGCTTACAGAAAAAGATCCTGGCCGGTATGGTGGCTCACAAAATCCTAGCACTCTTGGAGGCTGAGGCTGGCGGATCACTCAAGGTCATGAGTTCAAAACCATCCTGAACAAGAGCGAGACCTTGTCTCTACTATAAATAGAAAGAAATTAATTGGCCAACTAAAAATATATAGAAAAAAAATTAGCTGGGCATGGTGGCACGTGCCTGTAGTCCCAGCTACTTGGGAGGCTGAGGCAGAAGGATTGCTGGAGCCCAGGAGTTTGAGGTTGCTGTGAGCTAGGCTGACGACAGGGCACTCTAGCCCGGGCAACAGAGTGAGACTCTGTCTCAAAACAAACAAACAAAAAAACCCTAGAAACAGAGCCCTTCCCAAGACCACCTGACGAAGCCCTCACACCCAGCAGCACAGCCCCCAGGATGTACTCTGCTCCAGTAATTGGAGACCTTGGGCAGGAGAGCCTGCGCCAGTGGTGGTGTTGGCTCCCAAGCCCGCATGTCCCTTTTCCCGTGCTCTGCAGAGCCTTGGGAGTGAACAAAGCCCCTCCCGCAGTTGCTGCTTTGTGCCCAGCGGTTCCCAAGCCAAGCCGGACAGGAGGTAGGCCCAAGCAGGGCTGGGAAGGCAGTGACCAGTTGGAGCAGATGGCTGCAGCTGGCCCAGGTGAGCTTCTGGTTCAGGCTTTGGTCTGGTGCCAGCGCTGGGGCAGGTGTGTGGGTGCCCAGGCGGCTATGGTTGGCGCAGTTCCATAGCCATCTCCACCAGCGTGCAGGGGCTGCTTCTCCTCCTGCAGACACTTGCCCCTTCTCCTCTGGCCAGACATCCCCACTTTGGGGGTGAGGCGGGGCCGCTTCCCTATTTCCTGGAGCTGAGCCCCTGAAGCCGCCGGTCAGCCACCCTAGTCACAAACATCCGGGAGGCTGTGGGTCCTGGGCTGGTCCCTCGTGGTGGGAATGACAGCCCCCACCAAGAGCTTCAGCCTGCCCAGCGCTCCAGGTCCCTCGCAGTCAGCAGGGTCCGTCGACCGGCCAGGGGGCTACCACGGCCGCCAGAGGCCCGGGCCGCAGAGAGGCGCAGGCGGTGAGGACGCGGGTGGGGGCGTGGGCGGCCGGGCGGGCGAGGGCGGGCCCCCGGAGTCCCCTGCGCGCCGGCAGTCGGGGGTGGTGCCCGCCGCTCTCCGTCGCAGGTGCTCCAGCAGGCGCACAGTCACGGCGGGCTCCAGGACGCGGCAGGCGGGCAGCACGCAGGCCAGGCTCGCCACGCAGGCGCTGTAGCCGTCGCGGTAGCTGTCGGAGGGCGCTGCGGGCGAAGAGAGGAGTGAGGCGCGGGGCGGGGTGCGGAGTGCGGGATGCCGGGCGCGGGCAGGGCGGGGCGGGCTCACTTACTGGGCGCTGCCGCGGGGCGGGAAGACGCAGGGAGCTCCTGCAGGAAGCGCACGGTCATTTCCAGGATGTCCGCCTTCTCCAGCTTCGAGTAGCGGGAGTTCTGCGCCCAGCCACGAGGGACAGGGACAGAGGCCGACAAACAAGACAGGTCTCTGGCAGGCTGCCCTGAGCACTGCGCTGGCGGGGAGCTGGGTGCCCCGCGCGCCGTTGCCTGCGGTGGGGCGGATCCTCCACCCCCGCCCCGGGCCCCGCTCCCGCCACAGCGCGCGCCCCACGGCTTCTTCAGAGCACGCTGCCCGCCGCCCCGCCGGCCGCCCGGGACCCTCCACACCCCGCCTGGGTCGCCAAGCTGGGATCCAGCGCCCAGGCACTCACCTCCCTGCCCAGCAGCGGCAGGATGAGCCCCTTGAGCTGGCTGAGGCTCTCGTTGATGCGCGCACGTCGGCGCTTCTCCAGAAGCGGCTTCAGGGTCTGCGGGACGCCGGGTGCACAGGCAGTGTTAGGCCGCGCGGTCCTGGCCTGCCCTGCCCGCCTCATCCCCTAGTCCCCGCTCCTACCTTGCGCAGCTCCGCAGCGTCCCCAGCCCGGCGAGGCAGCCCCATGCTGGGTGGGAGCGCGGCGGCACCTGCGGGCCTGCGCAGTGGGCGTCCGAGGCCGGGAGGAAGGTCGCTGGGCGGCCGGAGCCGGTGTCAGACGAGTGCGCGCCGCGCCCGAAGTCGGGCTTTAAATGAGCGGCGTCACCCGCCCCGCCCGGCGGAGTCGGACGGCCCGCTGGTCCCACCTCCCGCCTTTGTTCCTGCGCAGGGTGTAGCCGGCAGGGGCGACGGCGGCGCCCCAGGGAATCCCGCTGCAGACCTTCGCGTCCCATCTGTGGCGGGGTGGCGGCCCGAGCGCTCCCAGAGCACCTACGGGGGGTGGTGAGGGCGCCACCGGGACCATACCGCTGCCTGACCCCGACGGCGGGAGGAGCGGGCGGGGCCCGGCCTTGCCTGACACAGACTGCGGTCCCTCTTCTCCAACGCCGCCCTTCGTTCAGTCTCCGCGTTCGGGCTCAGCGCCTCCTCGCAGCGCCGCCCTCGGCCCAGGCAGGGGACCCAGCAGGACTGCCAAGGCCTGCGCCCCTGGGAGCTCCCACGAGGCCTAATGGGGGGAGGGACTCGCACCACCCGCTGCTCTGTCGCCTGAGGGGCTGAGCCGGAGCGCGAACCCAGGCCAGGAGAGAGGTCGCGACCTGCTCCACCCTTCACTGCTCGGGAAGTGGCCGAGCCCTGGCTGTAAGGACTCCAGGGAACCCTGCGGCGTCTCGTCAAGTTAGGGATCACCTGGTTGCCCCACGCTCGGTTGTGGATGGGGAAACTGAGCCCCAGAGAAGCTGTGGCAACCCGAGAAAGCCTTCAGAGCTCATTTTCATTTGAGCTGGCTCTGGGCTCCGGGTCCTCTCGCGCAGGACAGTCAGATCACGTGGCGGGCGGGCGGGCGGTCCCGGGTGCGAGCTCCCCAGCGGCCCGCCAGGGCCGCCTCGGTGCCGCCTCCGTGCCGCGTGGCCGTTGCTGCTGCAAACTGGCTGGCGTCCCCCGCCCATCTGCTCCGGGCTCCCCTCCCCTGACCGGCTGGCGGGGCAACGGCCACTCCCGCAGACCACACCGCGATCTGCCGGGCCGACCATGGGACGGGGGACTGGCGGGACCCGCAGAGCCAGGCCAGGAGGAGGCCCGGTGAGGCGGAGCCAAGGCAGGCTCTGTCCAGGGTGCTGGATGGACACCCCCAGCCCCACCACCGACGCCCAAACCCCACCTTCGTGCCTCCCTGCCCCCACCAGCTCCAAGTCACCCTCCTGCAGTACTCCCCCAGCAAGCCCAGGGAACACCAGCCACCTACCAGCAAGGGAGCCAGAAGCTGCCTGGGCCAGGGGCGCTCGGGCCACCCATACCTGACTGTGCATTTGAAAGACTACCGATCTTATATTGAGCACTTGCTGTGTGCCAAGCTCCAGGCCAAGTGCTTTTTGGCCCTCACCTCCATTAACACTCATAGCAGTCCTAATAAATGAGAATAAATCATTCAACACATTTGGCCCAGCAGAGCTTGGGGGTACCCAAGCCCCTGCCCCACTCCCATGGTTGAATCCAGCGTGCCTATGGACCAGCTTCCTCCACGTTAATTGTTCTTTTTTTTTTTTTTTTTTTGAGACAGAGTCTTGATTTGTTGCCCAGGCTAGAGTGAGTGCCATGGCATCAGCCTAACTCAGCAACCTCAAACTCCTGGGCTCAAGCAATCCTGCTGCCTTAGCCTCCTGAGTAGCTGGGACTACAGGCATGCGCCACCATGCCCGGCTAATTTTTTCTATATATATTAGTTGGCCAATTAATTTCTTTCTATTTATGGTAGAAACGGGGGTCTCTATCTTGCTCAGGCTAGTTTTGAACACCTGACCTCAAGCAATCCTCCAGCCTCAGCCTCCCAGAGTGCTAGCATTACAGGCCTGAGCCATCCTGCCTGGCCTTAATTGTTCTTAAGAGCTCAATAAAAGGACTTTGTGGATCCTCCCCCACCCCTCAGGCCACATAGACTGGCTCACTCAGTTCTGTGCCTGCAAGCTCACCCTGCACCATCTGCATCCTTGGGGAGAGACTCTGACACTAGCTCCTGCAGGGAAGGGGCTGGAGGAGGAGGTTCCTCCTAGAACACCCCCCTCCAAGCCTGTGGACTACCGTGGGAAGACTGAATGGCAGAAAAGCAAACTCCCTTTTCCATGCCACTTACCCTCAATTTTAAAAGTCTCTTCCTCTGCTCTCCCATTGCTGTAAAGGACTTTAACCAAGTAACCCACAGTGGCCCCCCAACTGAAGATTCTGGGGTTTTGCTGGTTACTTGGAAAAAGAAATTGTCAAGAATCAGGGGAATTTAGGTAAGATAGCTGGGTGGGTGAGTGTTAGGTGTAGGCTTTTGGGTAGCTGGGGCCACCAAGGGTACAGTGGGGACACACTCCACCCCCAGTCCCAGCCTTGGGAAGTGCATTGGCCCTTGGGTGGGGCAGAAGTGTGGGGTGGGCTGGGGTGAACCCAGCAGAGGGGTGAAAGGAGGCCTCCTGGGGAGGGAACCCCTAAGCTGACATCTGGAAGGTGGGAGACTGGAAGGGGGATTCTGGGCAGAGGGAACCTCAAGGGCAGAGGGGGAAAAAGCACAGGAGGGAAAACAAACAAACAAACACTCCCCATGCCTCAGCTTCCCCAGCTGTAAAATGGGAGTAATAGTTGTACCTCTCTCATAGCATCCTTGTGGGGATTAAATACCCAGGTGAAGCTTGGCACGTGTCTGCTAAGTGGTAGGTTCCATAAACACGTTGCTGCTGGCTTGGCTCTCCAGGGCTGCCAGGAAGGACCCAGTGGGCCTGGTGGACGTGGGTGAGCCCACAGAGGACACAAAGGCCTGGCAGGAAGGACCTGGCCTGAAGCCTGAGTTTGAGTCATGTTCTGAAAGGACATGACTTTCAGAGGCTGGTCAGCAGGGTGGGTGTTCACACCTGGCTTTCATGGAGATGCCCCTGGCGGCAGTGGCAGGGGCTCAGGGGCACCTGCCTTGCCCACTGGGAGAGCAGCTGTGCATCACCTGGCCCTACCCCCCAAAATGACACACCCATGTGATAGATGAGTGTGCTCAGGGCCAATGGAGCCACCTTGGGGATGGGGGACATGAACGGCGGGGAGTTTTTAGTAACGGAGGAGGTACAGGGCAGGGGAGCCCAAGACGATCCATTTTAGCTCCTCCTCCAGGCGGTACCCCTGCCACTTGCCGGCCTCGGGGTGCATCCGCCTCTGAGTAGGCAGGAGGAGGGCAGCTCCAGCGAGCAGCAAGCATTGCTCTGGCCACATGAGGCTACCAGAAACAGACTCCTCCCTCCCCTTATGCAAACCGCGGCGCAGTGGGTCCCACATCCCAGTGGCCGCAGGTCCTGCCGAGAGCAAGGCCGATCTGGCCGGCTTGGAGGTCGTTGGAATCCCACCCGGCCACGCAGGACACGGCGGCTCGGGTTACCCGGCCCCTGCGAGCGCCGGAGGCCCAGGCCAGGCAGGGCGCCATCAGGTGGCAGCCCCGGGAACGGCATCCGAGGCCGCCCCGGAGCCCAGCGCCGGGGCTCCGGGTTCCTGGAACCGGCTCCATTCTACAGCGCTTCCCGCGCGGGCTGTGCGGGGCCCGGGCCAGGACCGCATTCAGCGAAACATTCAGCGCCGGGCGGGCCGGGGGCGGCTCCAGTGGGGCGGGGCCGTGGGAAAGGAAGGACACAGGCTGCTTCAAGGTCGCGCTTTATGCCGATGCGCGCTTTATGCCGATGCGCTTCCGCCGCTACGCAGCCCCCAGCTCTGGGAGTTCTTCTCAGGTCCAGCCCGCCTCGTCGCCTCCGGCTCCCACGACTGGTTTGGGCTGCGCCCGCAGGGTGGTTTGGCCACGTGCGCTCGCCCCGGCGCCCTGGGGCGCTTTCCTGCGGCCTTGCCTGGTCGTGACGACCTCTCTCTGGATGTTGGCTCTGGGCGTCTCCCTATAGGCCCCCTCCTCGCACCCCTGCTGTCTCTCCTACCCGCTTGGCAGCCTCAGACCCTCAAGCCAGTGGTCGACTCCCCCCACCAGGCAGCGGCGCTGGAGTCTGGGTCGGACTCCCTGGCACCCAGGCCCACAGTTCTGAGCGCGCCAGGAGTTCCTGTCCTCTCCTCCTTCCCGCCTTCCCTCCGTCCCTCCCCTAGGCTCAGAGGGCCGTGCTGGGGTCTGCAGGGACCTGCAGGGCTGAGGGCCTGGCACCCTTCGCACTCTCCCCGCCTTGGACCCAGAGCTCCTCAGGGCCTTGATGTTCCTGGAACTCCTCTCTCGCCGCTCGAAACGCAGCCCCGGTCGCCTCTATTAGGCCTTCCCTGACCGCCCTCCATCCCCGATAAATCGTGCCCTAGCACCCCATTTTCCTGTTCTGATGACACCTGTCACCCTCTGGAACGGCGGCAACTGTTTGCTGGCTTGTGTCCCCAGCGCCTGTAACAGCATAGAGGGGACACTCAGGTGAGTGAACTTGTGCCTGGACGGCTCTTGAATTCTAACCCAGTTTTGTCGCACTCTGGAGTCTCAGTTTTTACGTGAGGCAAATTAGGAGAGAAGCTCCTGAGCACACCTGCTCCTGTCGCCCGAGTGTCCCCGCGGCAAGGCGGGGACAGGCGGTGGACTCGCCCGAGGGGGCGGGGCAGGGGCGGGCCCGAGGCTTAAGCCGGTGCCGGTGGGTGCCCGCCCCAGACCGCGGCGGAGCGCAGGGCAGCGCGGAGCAGAGGCTGGGCCGGCAGCTGCTCTGCCTCCCCCGACCGCCGCGCCGCGGGCTTCTCTGGCCCCCGACGACATGCGCGTGGCGTCCCGGGGAACACGCTGAGCGCGGGGTCGCGGCGCCGCGGGCGGCACCATGGCCCTAGAGCAGGCGCTGCAGGCGGCGCGGCAGGGCGAGCTGGACGTGCTGAGGTCCCTTCACGCTGCCGGCCTACTGGGGCCCTCGCTGCGCGACCCACTGGACGCGCTGCCGGTGCACCACGCAGCCCGCGCCGGCAAGCTGCACTGTCTGCGCTTCCTGGTGGAGGAGGCGGCCCTGCCCGCCACGGCCCGCGCGCGCAACGGTGCCACGCCGGCCCACGACGCCGCCGCCACTGGCCACCTCGCCTGCCTGCAGTGGC